AAAGATTTTTGACAGAGAGAAAGAGAGTGTGTACAAGCAGGGGAAGCAGCAGGCAGAGGGAGAGGGAAAGCAGGCTCCCCGCTCAATAGAGAGCCCCATGCGGGGCTCAGTCCCAGGACCCTGGGATCAAAACCTGAGCTGAAGGCAGACGCTTAACCGTCTGAGCCACCCAGGCGCCCCTAGGGAATACATATATTTTATTATGCACTAAAATGGTGAACTGTCAAATTAGGTATTAATGGGTATTATTTTGTATTTGTTAATGAGTTATATACCCATGAGTCAAATTAAACTTCAGCTCTAAACTCCCAGAAAAGATAAGGTTGTATATTTTATGAGCAATAGATCTGTTTTTCCATAGGGATGATGAAAGCACCCTCATCCTGTTGCCAAGTCAATGATTAATGAACAAATTTCTAAATTACCTTATTTAAAAGCAAAAAAAGTGTTCTAAGTTTGTTCTGCTTTCAAGAGGCTTGAGATAGTCAACTTTTGATTTCTAGGTAACAGTTAATTACTTGTCTTTTCCAGTGGCTAGCGTGCCACTACATTTTCAGGAGGCCATTATTAAAATGAAAATGTGCATCACATGAACTAATAAATGTTAAGGGGTAGCAGCCTATAGTTATACTCATTGTAGAGAGAAACCAGCCTATTAAAGTTTGTAATTTATCAAGTAAAAAATCTGCATCTAAATAATAATAAACTGACTTCCAATATAGTCATATTTTTTAAAAAAGAGGTTGAGAAATAAAAAGAGTAGAGAAATATTTCAAAATAGTCATTCGAGAAAGCCATGCTATTTTATCACATCACCAAATACTATTATTTAAAAAGAACTACCTTTTGCATGCCATGGTCATCTAACCCATGGTTTTATTTAAAATTCAAGAACTAACATTTAATAGAGAGTATGTCTTACCAGCTCATAACAGATATGGTAGCTGTAAGAAAGACTGATGGTATACTGTGGCAAGTAGCCTTTAATATGGCCATCAATGATCCCTGCCTCCTGCTATTAGTATCTTTGTCTAGCCCCTTCCCTTGATTGTGGGCTGGACCTAGTGACCCACTTCTAATAGACAAAATATGACCAAAAGTAATGGATGCCACTTCCAAACCAAGATTAGGTTCCATAAAGACTATGACTTTCTCTCTCTCTCTCTCTCTGTCTCAGAGCCCTTGCACTGGGGAAGCAAGTGCCCATGTTGTGAGTAGCCCACATGGAGAGGTCCATGTGGCAAGGAACTGATGTCTCTGGCCAAAAGTCAGTCAGGACCTGAGATCTGCCAAGAACCACATGAGTGAGCTTAGAAGTGGATATTCCAAGGCTTCCAACAGCTCTGTCACTTGCAAATCCTCCTCCAGCCAAGCCTTAAGACGATTACATCCCCAGCTGACATCCTGACTGTAGCCCAAGAGAGATCCTGAGTCAGTGGTACCCACTTAAGCCATGCTCAGATTCTTGATCCACGGAAACTGAGAGACAATAAATGTCTGTTGTTCTGCTAAGTTCTAGAGTAGCTTTTTTTGCGCCGCAACAGATAGTTAATACATAGAGTAACATGTTCGAGTAGCAACTCTTTTTGCCCTCCTTTTGTTATCACTGGTGTCTAGCTTTTGGTAAGAGGTGAATTATTTTTAGATGAGGATAGTAAGGGAACCTGTCCCTGACGCCAGGAAATAATCAAACACAGAATGTTCCCACCTCAAGTTGTTTATGTAGATGTGGACTGCAGAAAAAAAAGTTAATTAGTTAAAAGATATTTTTTATCTTGTTTTCCCCAAAGACATATAAATATAAATATGATCACAGAAGCACTCACATTGCATATGCAAACATATATGTATAAGTATCATATATAAAAAAAGACTAGCACACTAAATTGCTTATAATGATTACCTTTAGATGGTTAGGTTATTTTTATCTTCTTTGTGTCTTTATTGTATGTTCTACAATAAGCAAATATTATTTGTATAATAAAGAAAAACACTATATTCATATATCCAAATAGGCATTTGTAACTCAAAAAAGGGAGAGAAACTGGGTTTCTATTATTAGCAGATGTAAGTAAGTATTTAAGGGTAGAGACTTTAGAACAAGACTGCTAAGGTTTTGGCTCAGCTTCTTACTGGTTCTGTGACTTAAACCCTTCAAGTTTCCTTATCTGCAAAATAGGGTGATAGTATTACTATTCCTCACAAGGTTGTTACAAGGAATAAGTGAGTTAATTCTTATAAAGCATTTAGCACATACTAAGGTGCTATGGAAAGGGTAACTGTTATTATTGTACTGGCAATGTATCCACATGAAAGATTAAGAATTTTCTTAGTGTAACTACAGATATCACTCAAAAGCTGAGAATACTAGTGTTTTTTAAAGAGGACATTTTATATTTGTCAGTGCAAAGTACCTTGTTTCAGCTTTAGACGAGATTGGAACTTTCTTTTTTTTCTTTATTTTTTTCTCACTGTTCAATTTGCCATCATGCAATGAAGTATCTGAGGGAAAGTAAGTCAACTGTTCTTTGAGTTTCTTTCTTATTTTCTTCTTAATCTCCTTCGCCATTTCTTCAGCTACTTGGAGTTGGTATGCTTGCATCAGTTCTTCTTCCTCATCTAAATTATTATTTTCTCTTTCTTCATCTGCCTTCTTGCTCTTCTGATAAGCAACATCTGGCTGTGACCTGGTTCGTGCTTTCTGGTGTGTGGAATCCACCTTCCTCACAGGAGCTTCCAGTTCCATTCCTTGTGCAGTCATCTGGAGTACTGTTTTCATAACCTTTTTACTTGCCTTTCCTTGCTTGTCTTCCTCTACACTAACATCATCTGGATTTTCAGGTGTTGACTGGGGATTCCTTAGTTTGCTTTTAGTGACTGGGTTATTAGTGTTCATAGCACTTACATCATCACTTTCAGTTTCTTTACTTTTCGGAAGATTGCTTCTAACAGTGTCAAGCTAGGAAAAGAAGACACGGTAACAAAGTTTCAGTCAAGCACAATTCAATGATACAAAGATAAAGCACAATAATGACTGTGCTTATCCCAATGTAACATTGGGAAAATTATTTCATCTTTTACTTGAACACACTGATACCATTCTAGACCATCCCATTAGCACTATCAGTTTATTCTCTTGGCATTAGATTCATTAATTTCTGAGAGTAACTTCAGATTAAATGAGATAATCAACATGGGGAAAATACTTAATGACTTTTCAAAATGAATAAATTGCTCTTATCTCCAATGTTACTTCTTCTCTTTGGCAGAATGATCCATACTTTAATTACAAGATATTTGAGAAATTGCTAAAGGAGCCACAGAGTTAAAGCATTTTAGGTTTCCCAACAGAAAACACACACAGGTCATTTATCTTACTTCATAATTACATTCTAAAATCAAAAGTCTGTAGTATAGAATAACCCTACAATTAATCCAAATACATTACTGAAAATGCTGCCAAATATTAAATATTATCACATTAAGTCAAATGACAGACTAAACACACCTGTGTATCTTTCTCTAATCAAAATTATTTTATTTTTTAAGATTTTATTTATTTGAGAGAGAATGAGAGAGAGCACGAGAGGGAAGAGGGTCAGAGGGAGAAGCAGACTCCCTGCTGAGCAGGGAGTCCAATGTGGGACTTGATCCCGGGACTCCAGGATCATGACTTGAGCCGAAGGCACTTGCTTAATCAACTGAGCGAGCCAGGCACCCTAATCAAAATTATTTTAAATGGGATATTTTTAATAAAAAAGGCTAGAAATCAAAAAGGAATGCTACTAGTAATAAAATAAATATTTTGAGAAATTTCCCAAGGATAAAAAATAGGCAGGATTAGATCTATTAAGAAATTAGCAGATAAAACCACAGCCCATAGGAAAAGAACCAGAGAAGGGTGATTCTGAAGAAGCCATAAGCCCAGAGTCAAGTAACACAAGGAGGAGGGGATAAAACTGAGGATGACCAATTGAGGAGCTGGGAGGGACAGCTCTGTCCCCCACCTCCATTTGTGTTAGATGGTGACTTTCATTCAAAGGATAAAGCAGCTGAATATAAAGAAATATGGCAGCATGCTTCAGGTAGGTACAACCCTCACCAAAGACAGTAGATTATGTTGAAAACAACCAACAGGCAGGAGAAGAGAGATTCTCATATAGAAAGATGGCTAGACATTTAAAAACGAATAAAAACTGAAGAAAAGTAGCAAAATGAAAGAAAAGCCATCAAATCCAATAAAACAGAAAAATTAACGAGGGAAAGTGAATTAAAAGCATAAAATTAGAACTTAAAGTGTAATTAATATCAAAGAAATTCAAAAGCATATTGGATTTAAAAAACATAACTGTAGACATTAAAATTAAAATTTTGAGTAAGAGCTTAAAAGATGTGTTGAGAAACACAAGGGACAAACCAAAGTGCTAAAAGATGGAAGCCAGTATCAAAATGAAGAATTCTTTCAGAAATGGATGAGCTTACCAATGAAGAATAAAGTTCAATTTTTTTAAACAGATTTCAGAGAGAGAGAAAAAAAAAGAGAGACAGCACAAGTGTGTGTGAGAGTGGGGGGAAGGGCAGAGGGAGAGAATCTCAAGCAGATTCCCCACTGAACACAGAGCCTGAGGCACAGCTCGATCCCATGACCCACTAGATCATGACCTGAGCCGAAATCACTTAAATGACTGAACCACCCAGGCACCCCTGAAGTTCAATTTTTTAAAACCTTCATGTTTAAAAGTAGTTAGAAAATGTCCAATATATGATGGAGAAATGTTGAAAGGATTAGTATCCCAATATGTACCCAATATGTTATCTCTAAGACTCTTTTGCTTACCTACAATATATTTCCAAATTCCATCTATTCTTCAATGATAAATTATGGAGCGATACCCTCTAAAACATCTTCCCGAATCAAATCTAATAAAAATAATTTCTCTTAAAAAATGAGTTTATTTTCACATGTTTTGTTTCTGGAAGCAACAATACATGTTTAACTTAAAATAAGAAAGCAAAAAATTAAAAATACAAAGAACCAGAAAATATTTAAAGAGAAGAAGAAGACCCAAAGCTCAACTCTGGGTGCTTCACACAAGGAAAATCACCGCTAATCTTTCCAGAAACATATGTTTGTCTTCTTGCTATCAATATAGTCATACCTAATAACTTCAAATTTTCCTTATGTTAAAATGAAGCACATACAAATCTTTCTTTTTATTTTCTCAGGGAGTACGAGAAATGTAGTGGGAATATACACAAATTTCGAGGACACTCCTGAAGGAAATAACTGGAAAAAGATAACCAAGAATTAGAAATGGAAGGAAGAATTATGGCTTAGAAGATTTCAAAAATGGAACCATGGGACAGTTAATCAGAGGACATTCACAGTTTTTTATTTACTTTCTTTCACTGATCTGTCAACCTTTGTACTAATATCATTTAATTTTATACTATGACTTTATATTTTTCATGTTTCTGCTTTATTAACTTTTTTTAAAAAAGATTTTATTTATTTGAGAGAGAGAGAGAGAGAGAGAGAGAGACACAGAGAGAAAAAGAGAGCATAAGCCGGGAGGAGAGGGAGAAGCAGGCTCCCGCTGAGCAGGGAGCCCGACGTGGGGCTCAATCCCAGGACCCTGGGATCATGACCTGAGCCAGAAGGCAGAAGCTTAATGACTGAGTCACCCAGGCGCCCCTTCAATTAATTTTTAAAAACCGCAATAAATACAATTCCCAGGGTATCTTTTGTAGTATTCCATACATTCCACAGTACTGTATTGTTTTTATTATTTTAAAATATCCTGCTTTTTGTAGTTCTAATTTCCTTTCTCTCACTAACAACTGTATGGGATGATTTTTAAATTTCCAAACGGTTTATAAATTTTGTATTTGTTATTTGTAGTTTTGTGGTACTATAGTTAAAAAACTATTTTATGGACTTTAATATTTCAAGGATTAGGTTATGGCTGAATTTTGAAGTGCTCCAAATACATTTGTTCATGTTCTATTACATCTTTGCTCATCCTTGTATCTTTTTTTTTTTTTTAAAGCAGGAAAAAAATCAAACAAGTTTAATAACGTGTATCCATGGGAGAGACCCTGGAAAACAGGGTAAGTCCCCGGTGGCCACAGCCACCACCTTCTCCTATCCTTTTATCTTTACCCTTCTGTGTGTCAGTTAGGTTTTTTGCTTCAGTTTGGTTTTTAAATCAGCTTTACTGAGATACAACTTACATACAATAAAATTCACCAATTTTAAGTACATAATTAAATGAATTTTGGTAAATATATACAGACATATGACTACTACCATAATCACAATGTTAAACATTTCCATCACCCCAGATGTTCTTGTACAAAGTCAACCTCTAGTCCTCCACACCCTAGCCCCACTCAAGCACTCATCTGCTTTCTATCAAGATAGTTTGGTCTTGTCTAGAATTTCACGTACATGGAATCATACAGTTTAGAGCCTTTTGTGACCAGTTTCCTTCACTCAGCATAGAGCTTTGGAATTCATCCGTGTTGTTCCACCTGTAGTTTATTCCTTTTTATTGCTGAGCAGTATTCCATTGCATGGATACATACCACTTTCTATTTCTCCATACACTAATTAATGAACATTTATTTCTAGTTTTGTACCATTACATTTTCATTTCTCTTGCATAAACACCCAAGAATTACTGAGCTGTATGATAAGTAGATGTTTAACTTCTTAAATATCTGCCAAACTTCCCAAAGTGGCTGTACCATTTTGTATTCCCAAATGTTTAAGAGTTCCACTTACATAACATCCTTGCCAGCATTTGGCATTGTCATTTCATTTTTTGGCTGTCCCAATATGTGTGTAATGGCATTTCATTATTGTTTTAAATTGCATTTCCCTAATTAGTAATGACACTGAAAATCTTTACACGTACTTACATGCTATCTGCATCTCTTCTTTGGTTAAGTGTTAAAATCTTTTGCCCATTTTCACCAGGTTATTTTCAAATCATTGAGTTCTAAGAGCATTCTTAAAATGTTCTACATACACTTTCTCAGTGTGTTGAAAATATCTTCTCCGAATCTGTAGCCTATCTTTCCATTTTCTTAGCAATATTTTGAATTTTCACAAAGCCCAATTTATCTTTTTTCTTTTATGATTCATGTTTTTGTATCCTGAGAAATCTATTCATAATCCAAGGTTACAAAGGTTTTATCCTGTTTTTTCTATAAGTCATATAATTTTAGCTCTTATGCTTAGATCTTTGATCCATTTCTATTTAATTTCTGAACATGATATGGTCATAGTTTATAATACTGCATATGGATATCTGTTCCAGCATCATTTGTTGAAAAGATTATCCTTTTTCTCACTCCTTGGCAAATTCTGGCACACCCTGGCAATTTTGTCACACCTTGGCAATTTTTGTCAAGAATCAATTAACTATACACATTTGGGTCTACTTCTAGGTTCTGTACTACCCCCACAGACTTATATGTCTATCTTTATGACAATAACAGGCTGTCTTGGTTACTATAACTTTACAATGAGCTTTGAATCCAATAGTATAATTCTTTCAACTTTGTTCTTCCTTTTCAAAACTGTTTTAGCTATTCTAGGTCCATTGCTTAAATTTCCAAGTAAATTTTATAATTAGATTTTCAATTCTTAAAAAAAAATACTGGCATTTTGATAAAATTGAATTGAATCAATAGATCAGTTTTCAGAGAATGGATAATGTTCTGTCAATAACTATTTGACAAGAATGATTCCCCAATCCATGAACACAAATATCTATTATTTGATCTTTATTTTCAGCAGTTTGGGGTTTTCAGTATATAATAAGCCTTGTACAGTTTTTGATAAATGTATTCTCAATTGCTATATACTTTTGTTGCTACTATAAATGATATTTTTATATTTTAACTTCAAATTATTTACTACTGGTATAGAAACAAATTGGTTTTTATACT